ATTGGGCGCTGATGATGGAGTAATCACCAGACATTGTGCTCACTTCTCCTTCTCTTCCTCGCAGAGGAACCGCAGTGCGAGCATTTCTCAACCAGGGTCAGGTGGGCGTACGGAAAGATTAGCTCAGTGGCTGCTGCATGTGAGAGTGTGTGTGTGTGTGTGTGTGTGTGTGTGTGTGTGTGTGTGTCTCAGATGGTGACTCAGATTGGACCCTGCGCCTCTGCAAGAGGGAATTCTATCATGGAAATCGTTTGGTGGCCCTTGGTGGCGCGGGGTCTTGCCGCAAGCTGGCACTAGAATATTTCGAGCTCGCAGTAATGAAAGCAAACGGCAATTTGGCGTGTCTTCAGGCTTCAAAGCCGCAACGCGCGGTTCAGTCATCAGCGGCCGTTATCACCCACCGTTAATGGGGGCTGCTGCTCCCAGGCCGGTGAGAGAGAGGAGGGCTCAGAGAGGTTAAGTGACTTGCCCAGCGTCACATGGCCGGTAATGGGAGGGCAAAGTCCAAGGCTCAGTTTGGTCTCTTCCCCTCCCCCAAGGCCAAGCCGCTCCCGGAATGGATCATCTCTGAGCGTTTCCTGAGCGCCGGTTTCCATAGCAGCAGGGCCATTCCTGCACAATGGATGCCCCAGCTTCTCTGGGCTCTGCTGCTGTGGGGGCCGCAGGGCGGCGAGGCTCGGTCTTGGGGGACTGCCGGGGTGCGGGTGGGGAGGAACTAGACGGGTCATTTGGATGGTCTTGGGGCCTCCGGAAGGGCCACACTTGTTCAAGTTTTCCATTTCAGCTCTGGAGTTGGGTCCACTTCCAGGGAGGGCGTGGGGAGAGGGAAGAGAGAGAATGAAATAGGAAAACACCAGGAACAGAGAATGGGAAAGGCAGAGACAAAAGAAATTATAGACATGCCAAGACAGAAAAAAGAATGTGTTTGTTTTCCAGACGAATTATTCTGTTTACCTCCATTTTACAGATGAGGAAACTGAGGACAAATGTGGTGTGTCCCAAAGTCTGGTGGGAGAGCCAGCCTGTCCCGGCGGGAGGTGGGGGTAAGATGTTGTGGAGGGGATGGGAGTGGTTGAAATGCAGATTCTCTGACCCTACCCTGGACCTATGGAATCAGAATCTCTGGAGTGGGCAAGACTCTGCATTTAGCGAGTTCCCCAGGAGAATTTTCTAGAGAGGAAGGTTTGGGGGTCTCCACTGTCAGGAGGGCTGCCCCGTACTCTGCCTAAGTTTCTGCAGCACATAAACTCAGAGCCAGGATTTAGGACCCAGAAGGGAACAAGAAAGAGAGGAAAGTGACAAAGAGAAGCTTTTCAAAGCAAGACAGATATGCCTCAGAAGAGATGGCAGAGAGCAAGAGAGAGAAATAAGACAGAAACAGACACACGGGAGAAGCACTCAGAGCTCAGAGAAGGAGTGATCTGGTAGGACAAGAGCGAGCTGTTCTCGACTGTGGATTGCCTGTCACTGTAAACACAGCCCCTCACTCAATCCTCACAACCGTCTGATGGGATAGGTCCTCTCACTTCCATTTTCTGGATGAGGAAACTGAGGCATGGAGAACAAAGGAGCAGAGCCCTGCTGTGACCCCTGGCAGTCTGGCTTTGGAGGGGGTCGGAGCTTTAACCACGAGGCTAGGCTGCCTCTTAAGCAGAAAGCTCAGGGACTCAGACCTGGGCTCAAATCTTGACCCCACCACTTCCTACCTGTGTGACGCTAGAAGCCTTTCTTTGCCTCAGTTTCCCCACCTGCAAAACGGTGACACTAATACCTGTCTCAAAGGGTTTCCATGAGGTCTCATCTGAAATGGGCCATGAAAAGTGCCCAGAGCAGCCCCTCATGCTAGGAAGTGCTCCGTGACAGCTGGCTGTCAGGAAGTCCCTAGAGGGTCCAGGAGACACAGGTGGCCCACACAGGTGGGCTTCTTGGGGCCTCTTTGCCTTGAACTGGGGCAAGGGAGGGTGTCTCAGTCCATGTTATGGACTATCATAGACTATCACAGACTGGTAATTTACAATGAACAGAAATTTATTTGGCGCATGGTTCTGGGGCTGGGAAGTCCAAGAGCATGGCGCTGGAATCTGGTAGGGACCTTCATGCAGTGTGGTCCTGTGGCGGGAGGTGGAAGGGCAAGAGAGAGCACAAGAGGGAGCAAGAGGGAAGGGGGTCAAGCTCATCTTTTCATCAGGAACCCAGTCTTCTGGTCCTAACCCACTCCCGCGATAACGGCATTAATCCATGCGTGAGGGCGGAGCGCCCACAACCCAATCATCTCTCGAAGGCCCCACCTCTTAACATTGTTGTGCTAGAGATTAAGTTTCTAACACGTGAACTTTGGGGGGGCACATTCAAACAACAGCAGCGGGGAGAGGCTCCCAAGGGGCCCTGCTCTTCTCTGAGCCCAGAGCAAAGAATCATTGATGAAACAGAAACAATGATCCGACTACGTCCCCAGCTGCTGCTACAGGCCACGGGGCTCCTGGGAGCCTCACCAGGTTATATTGTGAAGCCTCCAACCTGTGACTCACAACAGCTCACACCCAAGTCTGCTCTGCCCAGGTGCTATTGTGGCTCTGATGGGCACCATCGTTTCCAGTGGGCACCTGCCAGGTATCTTCTGGGTGCCTTGGTGACATCACTTCCCACTGCAGCTGAGGCACAGGAGCCCTGGGGATGCCCCATTCACCTGGCCAAGGAAGAATGAGTCCTCCCATTTTACAGATGAGAAAATAGAGGCTCAGGGAGGTAACGTGATGGGCCTCAGGGCATGCATCTGGGAAATGGTACAACCAGGACACACATAGACTTCTGGCTGTGCTCTGGTTGCCTCCAACAAACATTTATTGAGCCCCTGCTGTATACCAGGCATTGGTGACATGTGTGAGCATGGTCATTACCTGCGTCCTCTCACTGGCTGGGGGCAGTGGAGGATTAGGAGGTCCCTCCTATTTGGCATAACGAGTGCTGTGGCAGCAGCTGACATTCACGGAATAGGCCAGGTACAAACCCAAGGACTTTTCATGTGTGGACTCATCACCACCTGACCCCATGCCACAGCCCTCGGGTCAGGTGGTGAACACAGCTCAAGAGGTGATGGGCAGCTGTGTCTCTCCAGCCCCTGTCCTCAAGTGTAGGTGGTCTTGTGTTGACGAGGTGGGGGAGGTTAGCAAAGAAGTCTTGTCACCTCTGGGCCTTTCTCCAGGGGTGGTGGCAGTGTGAGCTTCATGTCTTTACTCTTGTGACAACACAGACCAACTAATAGTGCTGATGTTCATTAACGCTGTGATCATACTATGCTGCATTTTACACAGTCGAATCTTTGGGATTCCACTTACTACCTGAGGGTGGGTTTTTCATGGTTCATTATTATCGCCTCCATTTTACAGAGGAAGAACACTGAGGTTCAGAGATTCTAAGTAGGGAGGATTTGAACCCAGCACTTGGACGCCAAGGCCTTTCCCCTAACTGCTTCTTGGTTCTTGGGAAGGGAGGGACGAGGCAGGTCTGGGGCTCTGGGCTGGCTTCCTGGAGGAGGAGGTGAGGTCTAGACTGAGGCTCAGAGGACAAGCAGACTGAGGCTGAGGGCGCGTGTGAGTGGGGTTTGGGAGCGGTGGACCAGTGCAGGGTTCAGGGCCCGCTGGTGGGGCCCAGCGGAGCTGGAGAATGGGGAGCAGGCTGAGACAGCGGTGGCTGGCAGGGCCTGAGTGGAGGAGCCAGCTTCGATCTCATCTTGTCACCCTGGTTACGCTCTGTTAGTAAAATCAGAGTGAGGTCACGCCCCTTCTGCCCTCAGAACACTCCCATGGCTCTGGCAGAGGAAAAGCCAAAGTCTTCACCATAGCCTGGAAGGCCCTGCCCTGGCTGACCCACGGCCACTCCTCCGACCCTGTCTCTAGTCTAGTCCCCAGCTTGCTTGCTGAGTTCCAGCCACACGTGCGTGGACCACACGGGGCACACCAATGGCCCTTCTGCCCGCAAAGCCCTGCTCTGAGCTATCTACAGGGCCCCCCTCACCTTCCAAACCTCTTTATAGACAGGCCTTCCCTGACCGTCCTATTTAAAATCGCAACGCCCCCGCCCCAGACTCCCCATTCTCCTTTCTTGTTATAATTGCTACTTTTTCACAGCACTTATCACCATCTGATATGCTGTGTATTTATTTTACTCGCTTATTTGTTCAGTGCCTGGCAGTCCCTATGACAATGCCAGCAACATCAGGGCTGGGATTTTGTTTTGTTCACTGCCGTATCCCCAGAGCCTAGAACAATGCCTGACACATAGTAGGTCATTAATAAAAGAAATTGTTACATGAATAAAAATAACTACAGTGACCTCATTTCACCATCATCAGTCTGCAAGTCATTTTGCCCGTTTTGGAAACTGAGGCCCAGAGAAGGCAAGGGACTTACCCAAGGTCACAAAGCTAGTGAGGGCCATGGTGAGTGCCCAGCTGTTGGGAGTGCAGCCAGCAGAGAGCACCCTTCGGAGATTGCCCAGTTGAGGATGGCAGCCTTGTCTGAGGTCATGCCCCCTCCCTCGGCAACTCATGTCCCATGACAGATCCACGCGGGGCCTGAAGGCCTGGCCCCAGCTCACTGTCCACAGCCCTGGGCTCTGGTGACAGAGGATGGAGAAGCACAGCTCTGTCATATGTGATAGCCCTGGGCAGAATGTTCTAGACGATGTGACAGACTGAACTGTATCCGCCCCAAAATTCATATGTTGAAATCCTAACGGCCAGCACCTCAGAATGTGACTACATTTGGAAATAGGGCCTTTAAGAGGTAATTAAGTTAAATGAGGTCATGGGGGTCATCCAATATGACTGATGTCCTTATAAGAAGAGATTAGGACACAGACATTATACAGAAGGAAGGCCACGTGAACACAGGGAGAAACAGCCACCAACAAGCCAAGAAGAAACCAACCCTGCTCACACTCTGATCTTGGACTTCTAGCCCCTAGAATGGTGAGAAAATAAATTTCTGCTGTCGAAGCCACCCAGTCTGTGGTACTTTGTTGAGGCCGCCCTAGCAAATCAGTACAGACGCATTAGCTCATGCAGTCCTCGCAAGACCTGCAAGGTGAGTACTATAATCACCCCCTGCTACAGATGAGGAAAGAGGCTCACAGAGGGGCAGCGGCTTGCCCAAGGCTATACAGTTCAGCTCTGTTCTGACCCCAAAGCCAGAAGCAGTGTGCAGTCTCGTGGGAAGACGGGGGTCCCACAGGCAAGAATGACGCAGCCGTGTGGGGCATCTGCCCTCACTGCTGGGCAAGCAGCAGTGCATGAGCTCAGAGGATCGGGAGCTCCACGCGGTTGGGGCAGCCAGCCAGGCTTCCTGGAGGAGGTAGAAGCCACTGGGCCTTGAAGAGTGAGTACAGTTTAGTTAAGGATAGAGAAACAAGGCAAAGTTCAAGGTGGAGAGCTGCTGTTCAGGGTTGTGGAGGGAGCAGTCTCATGGCCTCCTTGGGCAGGTGCTTTAGTTAGTCAGCTGGACAGAGCACAGGGTCCAAACCAGGTCGTGGAGGGGAGAGGGGAAGGTGGTGAATGGATGTCAGATTAATCATAGGCCACGTTTAGTGGAGAGTTACCGTGTAAGATTGGTTTTCAACTTTTTGGTCTCAGGACCCTTTTACATTCTTACAACTTAGTGAAGACTCCAAAGAGCTTTTGCTTGTGTCAGTTTCTCTATTGATAGCTACCATATTAGAAGTTAAAATAGACATTATTAAAACACATTCCGCTAGCTGTCAGATCCATGAGGTCATCTTCCTAACAATCCTCTAGTGTGGTTACTATTAATATTAGTATCATCCCATTTTACAGATGAGAAAACTGAGGTCCATAAGCTAAGTCAGTCCAAAGTCTTATATCTAATAAGTGACCAGAGCCAGGATTTGAACCCAGGCATTCCGGCTCCAGAGCTCAAGCTACCACATTACACTGCCTAGACACACTGCACCTACCATCCCCGTGCCAGGTGTGGAGTGTAGACATTCTCCTAGGAGTGCTGGGCTAAATCCCTGAAGCTTATCTGCAGCAAGGAGGACTGGGTGCAAGGAGTTAACTTCTTCTAAGATCAGATTTCACACTGTGAGTGGGGTGCTTTACTCCAGAGGCACACCAGGCCTCCCACACCCACCTCCACACCGAGGCAGGGGTGAGAAGTCTGCTCTCACAGCAAAAGCCTCTGAAATGTTATTTCCTGAAGTGTCACCTCACCCTACCGCAGCCCAAAGCCTCTGGGATGGAGGCTCCCTCCGAGAAGCAGCTGGTCCCCACCCTTCCTCCTGCACAGAGCCTGGGACCAGCCAGGGCCCAGAGAGAACTTAGCTCTCTGGAGGGCTGGGGCAGAATAAGTCCTGGTTCAAATCTGCCCGCCCTCTGAAAGCCTTTCCCAGCTCATGTGCACTTTTATTTAGCTCATTTGTCCTGCGTTTGCCGAGGACCTCCTGTGTGCCATGCAGCGTCACAATCAGAACCTCGCTTAAACCTCACAACAACTTTGTGCATCTGGTCATTTTGCAAATCCAATCAATCAATACTTATTGAGTATTCGCTATGTGCCTGGCACTAAGCCGGATGCCAGGGACACAGTACAGAGGAGGAAGGCAGGTAAGAACTTGGGTTTTGGGGAACTTAGGGTCCAGATGGAGAAGCCAGCCAGGTGAGGAGAGAGGCAACCACCGCAGCGCAGGATAAAAGGAAACACAGGGGGCTTTGCAAGCACCAACTCAGAGCACAATACATATTTGTGGTTGAGTGAAGAGCTGGGACTCTCCAGGATAATATTTAATAGCTCCCGGGGAGCTCTCCAAGGCGCCAGCCTATTGCATTAGTCAGGGCAGGATAATTGCTGCAACAAACAGCCCCACGTCGCAGTGGCTAAACACAGTCAGTGTGCTTTTCTCACGCAGCTTACTGTCGCCAACGTGGGTCATTCAGAGGTCCAGGCCCTTCCATCCATCCAGTGGAAGAGGTCTCGGGTTCTTTTCTGGATCTTCTGCAACCCCCAACAGTGGGAGGAGAAGGGAGGGCGTGGAGGACTGAGGGGGAGGTTTTATGGGCAGACCTGGAAGGGGCTCATGGCCAACTCACTGGTCTGTGCGAGGATGCAGGTGACTTAGGAGTGAAGGAGGGTGCGGTGTCAGCACCCGGCAATTCCCCAGATAAATTCAATGGGGGAGAGGCAGTTTTCCTAAATAATGAGGGCGCTTAGGCAGGGGCCATGGGTTCTGGGTGCCCACAAACTTCTAACCAATAGGTGTCCACTGCAGTATGCTCGTCAAGATACTTTCAGCTTCGACGGACAAAAATCCCACTCAAACCACTTAAGGAAAAAAGAGGATGAATGTGTTGGTAGCCAGTTTCAGGAATGGCTGGATATGAGGACTCGACAAGGTCATCTTTTCTGCTTGGCTTTAGCCAACAGGCAGGCTCTCAACATGTGGTAGGGAAGACGCCACTTGCAGGTGGCCCCCAACTCATGTGCTCCACGATCAGCAGGCTGGCAGGGGAGAGGGCTCTGCCCCCTGCATGTCATACGTCCCTGTCTATAGCCATTTGCTCATCCCAAATTATCACTCTGGTCCTGCAGGGGACCCATGGAAGCCTTATGAAGTCCAAATGGTGTGGGGGAGGGACGTTTTCCCAAAAAGGGACTCAGACCGATAATACCATCATGACCACTTCATAGGACCTTACTAGAATGTTCTAAGACCATTGAACCCATCACGGAGTCCTAGACATCAAAGGAGATAGGAGGCTTGAGATAAATAGATGGCTACTATTTTTATTGATAGCCAATTTCTAGGAGGCAGGTGTGGATGTGACTTTATGATGTCAACATATAACTTTCTTTTCTCCTTCACTTAAATTCAGAAACAGGTGGAGACCCAGGAATCAAGAGATGAAGAACAAAACCTCAGCTTATTACAGATAAAGCTGTGTAGAGAACGTGACTGGGGCAGGTAGGCAGATGGGACTGCTCACACTAATCCTCTTTCGTGACAGGTGGGTGCGGAAGCATAGATCTCTGCCCGCTGAACCCAGGGCAGACACATCTGCACAGGTGGCCGGCCCCAGGTTGAGAGGGAGCTCAGCTCTTCCTCTCAACTCCCCGATCTGTCAGTGCAGGCGCCTCACCCAACCGAGCCCTGCAGTGGGGGTGAGGCCAGGACCTGAGACCCGGTTGCCTGGCAGGGAGATCCTGGGACGTATAGTAAGCATCCCCTAATATTGGGGAGCTCCTGATTCCCAAGGAAACAGATGAAATTTGTGACGGGCAGGGAGTCAGAGAAAGAAGCATGCTTGTTTTCCTTTCTTTTTTCAAAAATGACTACTCAAATAATGCAATCCACTGTGAAATTTTTAAAAGAAAAAACGAAGACACAGAAAAGAATTGTAAAACGGCAAGCCACATTCAGTTCCACCATCTAATGTTAACTATCGTTACACATTGGTATATATCCCTCAGGTCTTTTTGAGTGTGTGTGTTTAAACAAAATTAGAATCATGCTTTATGCATAATTTTTTATCCGGCTTTCTTTAACATTCTATATAAAGCGTTTCAGCTTGTCCACGAGGCTGTAGGCAGCACGAGGGCAGGAACCACGTCTGCCTGACAATCACTGCATGCTCGGGGCCTAGTGCGTGTGCCGTGCTCAAAAAACATTGTCGAAAATAACAATAGTCGCAGGTAATGTTGACTAGGTGACTTCCAGGCATCACGATGCATCATCTCATTACATCATCGCAATGTGACCATGCAGTAGGTACTTCTATGAACCACAGCTTACGGAAGAGGAAACTGAGGCTGGGCAGGTGAGATAACTAGGCCAGGGTCACATGTCAGTGCTGCATCTCTGCACGAACTCACCCCTGCACGTGCATTTTCCCGCTTGACACGTTTTCTTGCCACATTCCACTTTTGGTCAGAGGGGACAGCTCCACTTGCCTGAGACAGGACTCGTCATTTGGAAAGAAGGTCACCCTGGGCAGGCCCTGGGGGCCACGCTGGTGCCTGCTGCATAGCCTTTGGCCAGTCCGCACTGGGATCCTTAAACAGCTTGGATTCAAGATGGCCTTGGGTCTGTCCTCACATGGGCCATGCTGCCCGTGACCGGGCTGTGCCCGCTGCGTGTGTTGATGCGTCTGCCCACCCTCCCGGATGTCAGGCTCTCCCATTATGCCCACTTACTAACTTTCAGAGTGCCGCTGGGGCAGAAGCCCCTGATACCCCACCCATGTCCCCTTGTCCTTTCTTTCCTGTTGCAGGACACATTGGCCCCGTGTCCAGCTGCCAGTACGCGCGTCTCCGCATGACGGCTTTATCTGGCCACTGGAGCCTGCTCCGCTCCCAAGCCCAGCAGGGGACCGGTGCCTCCTGGGAGCAGCCCTCAGCCAGTCACTACAGGACTTGGCGTCTAACTACTCCAGCTCCGCTGCTCCTGAGGGGGCGAAGCTGAGGCGTGCTCAGCACTGTCTCCCAGAACTCCCCAGCCGGATTGCGCTCCAGTGCCCACCATGGTAGACCCTCGGCTCACGTGTGGCTCTCAGGGAACCCGCACGAGGACTTCCATGCTCTTCTCTGCAGCCACCAGCCACCTGAGTTCCCCACAGGCTCTGTCTCTACTCTCCTCCCTCTAATCCATTCCCCACACTTGTCCCCAGAGTCACCTTTTAAAACACATCTGTTCCCCTCACTACTTGGCTGACTTCCCCTGGCCTCCAAGCTGAAGGGCTCTGTGTGCTTCCATCTCCTCAACCTCTCCAGCGTCCGCCCGAGGTGCAGCCCTCATCCCATGCTTAGGCCATACTAACCTGACTTACAGTGTCTCTGCCTTTGCACATGCTGTTCCACCTGCCTGGTATGCCCTTCCCTATCTTAGTCACTCAGAAAACTTCTACTCATCGAGCAAGACCCGTCTCAGAAGTCACCTCTCTCTGAAGCCTTCCTAGACCATCCTAGATATTGACAACCTCTCCCTTCTCTTGTGTCCCATTTGTACAGCATTTACCCCTCGTATCCAAGACTTACCTTACTTTGTTGTAGTTATGTGTTTATAGGTCTCGCTCCCCTGCAGGACTGTGAGCTCCCTGAAGGCAGGCTCAATCCTCTTCTTTCTCATCCCAACACCCAGCACTGACCCTGAACAAATTAGGCCCCCAATAAACACAAGTATCCCTTGCTATCCAAACTCTCCTATATGCTCGAAACCTAGGAACCCAATAGATCACGGCAACATGGCATCCCTCAGGATTCTGAATTCATCATCCAACATCCTGCTGCCCGAAGCTGGGAGTTCCTGGAGGTGGACAGCGAGGGATCCTTGCGTACAAATTAATTACTTAATGAGCGAGGGAGCTCAACTGCCGAGACCGCTCGCCAACTCTGGGCACAGACCTGCGTGAAGTTGGTGGAGAGGAGGGAAGGAGGGAACATGGAGATGCCAAGGCAGAGCCAAGAAAGTTGTTTTGCTTTGGAATATATTATTTTTGCAGGTTGCTATAGTTACCGCTGTGAAATTAAAAATTAAAACCTTGTGAAAGAGAGAGGGTTGACTGAGATGAGGCAGTTCCTTGACAGGCTGAGTTATTTATCTTTTCCCCATGTAACATCTGGTTATGTGCTTGCAAATTTATTTTTAATTCAGAGCTCTAAAAAGGATTTCGCGGTGGTGCGAGGTGCCCGGATGAAGGGCTTGGGGCGGGGAAGGTTAGCGGGTGGAATCCGGGGCTACTGGTGACCCCCAGCTTGTCCCCTGGTCCTTGCTCCTGCTTCTCACACAACCTCTAGGAACCAGAGGGTGGCTCCAATGCGTCTGGACCCCCTGCCAATCAAGCGGCAGCCGTAACCATGGTTCCCAGATGCAGAGCCAGGATGGAGGTTGCTATCTGGTTCCTGTGGTTCTCTGAGCGAGGACAGGCATGGTGGGGGAGTGGGGGACAGGCTTTGAGCTCCTGTCTCTCTAGTCTGTCTCCCAACCTATGTGACCCTTAGTGTCTCCCACGATCTCCCAGGACCCCTTAATCCGTCACCAAGAAAAGCAACAACTGTGGTTTAGGGGAGGCGACACTGGCTGGAGTTAGGAGATGTGGGATCTGGGTCCAGCCCAGCCCAGCTACTGCTGGCTGTGTGATCTTGGGAAATCACCTTCCCTCTCTGGTCCCTGTTCTTCCAACTCGTTAGGGAGGGGCTGGAGTCTGCGATAACCTCCTGGAGCCCTATTCTAGGGTCTAAGCGAGGCTAAGGAGTCGCCAGGCATCGTCGCTGCCTATTTTTTTTGCTTCTACCCGACTACCCAAGGCGACAGGCTGGGAACCCTGGGCAGTATGCCCTGTGGGCTCCCTTTGCTTGCCAAGCTGCTTCCTGCCTCCTACCTTTGCACTAGGTGTTCCCCCTGCCTGGTGCTCTCCTCCCCCAGATGTTCACAGGACTCCCTGCTCCGCCCTGCCCAGGTCTGCTCCTCAGCAAGGACTGCCCCCACCAGGGGAGGCGGCCCTTCCCCCCAGCCTGAAGCCTCTGCTTTTCTCTGCTAGCATCAGCACTACTGGGGAGTGGAGTCTATTTTCTGTCTGTCTGTCTGTCTGCCTCCCCATTGTCTGTCTTCCCTTCCAGAATGCGAACTCCACAAGAGCAGAGACATCGTCTGTCTAGGTCATGGCTGCATCCCCAGTGCCCGGAGCAGGGCCCGGCACACGGTAGGACTTCACACATATTTGTTAGGTAGATGAATGAATGAACAAATGAGGGAATGAAGAAAACATCGATTGGTCTCTGTTATATACTAGATCAGGTTAGGACAAGTTAAGATACGTCAGGATCGTGGGGAAGTGAATGAGACAGAAACTCCCCGGCTAGGAAAATGAATGTCAAAGGTAACTTTAAAGGAGAATATAGATTCCCTCATAGTGGCCAGGGTGTGTGTGTGTGTGTGTGTGTGTGTGTGTGTGTGGCGAGGGGTCATCTCTGCCGTGGTAATAATGGTCATATAGGTGGGTAATAGAAAATAATTGCATGTATAAAGCCTACATTCTCCGATAATAACAAAAGTAGTCGTAACGACCATGTAGCCAGCACTTACTGTATACGGGACGTGGTGCTTTAGACACATTAACTCCCAACTTTACAAAAGCCCTTGTGAGCAGGACGTGTCTGTCCTTTTCACCGCTGTATCCCCAGTGCCCGGGACATAGCAGGGACCCCGTACCCCTTTGTGCGGTGAACGCATCTCCATCTTATATTCAAGTCATCTGATCAGAAAGGGCGAGTGACTCGTCCAAGGACACAGCTAGAAAGTGACAGAGCCAAGATTTCATCCGAGTCCGTTTGGCTTTGTCCACCTTGAAACACGAGGTCTTCTCTCAGTGTGCTGGCTTCCTGGAGTCCCTGCCTGCCACCATTCCCCCGAAGACACGACCCCCCGGCCCTGTCCCTCACCGCCCCTCGCAACGTGCCTGACTCTGTGCTGAGCTCCAAGTCCGAACGACCTCGGGCTGGGTGGCATGGAAATCGGGCTGACGGGTTTTAGCCACCGACTTCGCAAGCATCGCCTGTGCCCTGGTGTCTCTGAAGCCTCCTGGCTCACTGCCATCCTTCGCTGTGCCTGCGAGGCTGGTGTGGGAGGACCAGGGAACATTTTGTGGGCAGACAGATAGATTCCAAAGTTCCCGACAGGTCTGGACTCATTACCCAGGCGCCCTCCATGGGTAAGCTCCAAAAAGCATGGCTGGAGCCCTGGGCCCGCGTGTTCAGTGGGGATGAATAATTAAAGAACCATCAGGCGCCAACAGCTTGACAAGGGAGGGTGTTGTAGAGCTGGCAACGCCGTGGCCCAGGCCGCTCTGATTTTGGGTGGAGGCTGTTGTTTCTGCCGGCTGTTTCGGTGGCGCCTAGGGCAACAGATCCCGATGGCGCAGGAGCCCATGCGATTGCTCCTGTGGGCAGAGGGCCTCGGGGAAGGCAGTTGCGGCTGGACAGACCGAGGTTCAAATCCCTGCTGTCTCCTGGACGTGGCCGAGTGACCCCGAGGAAGTCTCTCCATAGGTCCCATTCTGTGCCTTCGTTTCTTCTGTGACAGGGAAAGCGGTCCCTGCTCCGAGGCGTTGCTGAGGAGACGAAGTTGGGTGATATAAACTGTGCCTTGGAAAGGTGAGGGCGGGAGCCAGAGGAATCCACCTGCTCACTTGCTCCCCGTTTGCTTCCCCTGCTGGAAATGAGTGCTGGCGACAGGGACTTGGCTCACCTGTGAGCACCTGGAACGCGGCACCCCTAGTAAATATTTGTTTAATAGAGAAATGCATGACGGATGCTTTGGGTAATTATGGGCCAAACCAAATGTGTTTCTTGAAGGTCTGAGTTGCTAGATACTTGAGACTCTGGAATTTTCATGGTAGGTGGGTCCAGGGCAAGACCCCCACCCTGTTCCTCGTGATTTCCAAGTAAATTCACATGGGTTCATCTGGTGGCCGGTGACTGCGTGGCCTGATGAGCAATTGCTTAGGAGTCTTTTCTGACTCCGGACCCAGGCAAAGGCCTAATGCTGGAGCATGGGCTTGGGGGCAGACAGTCCCCATGTCCCACCTAGGCCCTGCCTTTGGGACAGTTAGGAGTGGACTCAGCTACACACAATAGAAACCCTACTGTGGAGGCATAATCCACTTGGTGCTTATGGCATAAGTCCTGGGTAGGCCACCTGGGGCCAGTATCGTTCTCACTGATGTCACTGGGGACCCTGGCTCTACTTGCCATGTGTCTTTGACATCTTTAGCAGGTAGCTTTTTATCCTCATTCCTGGTGCCTCATGGTTGCAAGATCACTGCCAGCGCGCAGGCGTGGCCTCCCTGTTCCACGTAGGAAGAAGGGGAAGAGATGAGCACAAAGGAAGGGCTTTGTAACTGTGGAAGAACACTGTCTCTAAGGCTTCTACCTAAATCTCATTGGCCGGATCAGCCTCACAGGCCACTCTGATCAAAAAGAAGCTGGGAAAGAGAGTGTTCCGGCTTTTATGTCGCTAGCGTGAGAGGAGCTGTTAGCTGTGAGGGAGGCGGCTGCCCACACATGGTCTCTGCTGCCCCAGAATGGCTTCCCGGACCTGAAGTCCCCGTGCCCATGCTCACTGACTGGTGCTTGAACTTGCAGAAAGAAGGTCTTCCTTCCGCTGTCGCCGTTGGCATGGTGATCAACACGCGGTTGTGCAGCCGGGCTGCGGGGCACGCGTCCTCGCTCCACCCAGCGCCAGCCCTGCGGTCTCAAGCAGGTTCTGTAACTTTGGTGTGCCTCAGTTTCCTCGTCTATAAAATGAGGATGATGGTCCTTCCCCATGAGGCTGTTTTATGCGGGTGAAAACATTCAGTCACGTGAAGGACTCAGAATTGTGCTTGCCCTGTAGTAGGCATTAAAAAAAAATCCGTAGCTGTTGTGATTGTTATTGTCACAGCCGTAGTTGCTAAGATAAGGCTTTGATGCCAGTGAAAACGAAAGGCTCCAAATGCCTGAGGGGTGTCCTGGCCCTGCCCCTACCTGCTGTGTAACTCTGGACAAGCCCCCTGACTGGGCTGGTGTCCCCTCTGTGCAATGAGCGTCTGGAGCCCAATGGGCGGGTCCTACAGGCCTCTCCTAAGAGGACTCACATGGAAACCCATCCTATCTGACACCCATGCCTCGGGTGGCCTGTGATGACACCCTCCTGGAGAGTGGGGTCTTCTGATGGAGGGCAGCAGAGTCCTGGAGGAGGGGGAATTTGGACAAGTTTAGGGGCTCTCCTAGGATTGCTGATTCCAGTCTCTCCCTCCCAGGCTTGGTGTCTGGACCTGGACAGGGGCTGGTCACACTTCTCTGTGTCTCTGGGAGGCCTGGGCCGCCCCATCCCCACCTCCAGCCTCACCCTGCTCCTCTCTTGCCAGGCTAGCTCTGGTTCCTGCCACCCTTCTTCTTTTTCTCTAAATATTACTTCCTCCTGCTGATTTCCCAGCAGACGATGACTCTCCTCTCCTCTGACTCTCCTCGGAAGCCAGCTTCCCGCAGTGGGACGCCCTGCGCTGGGTAGGGGCATTAACGAGGCTCCCTGGGTCCCTCTGTGGCAATGTGCGCAGGGACCATGCATGATCTGGTTGCTGTTGCTGTTGTTTTCTGGGAAAGCAGCTGAGATGCCCCCCTGCCCTCCAGAGGAAACTTGTTTGTGTTTTTTTTTTTTTCTTGGGGACAGAGTCTCTCTCTGTTGCCCGGGCTAGAGTGCCGTGGCCTCTAGCTAGTCAGCCTAGCTCACAGCAACCTCAAACTCCTGGGCTCAAGCAAATCCTCCTGCCTCAGCCTCCCGAGTAGCTG